CCCTCTCTCTGTCTCTCTGTCTCTCTCTGTCTGTCTGGTGAGCGCACGCGCCCTATAGCAAAAACCTCTCCAAATAATAATAATAATAATGTTGGAGTACTACATGTGCACACACACGTGCACACAGAGGAAAGTGCCCTCCACTGGGCTCAGTCCCAGTGCGATCCCCTTCTCCCAGTCCTCTAGCCCACCAGGGTCCTGGGCGCGCACGTGCCCACCCACTGTCTCCAGGCCGACTGGGTTGGAACGTGAACTGTGGCCGGCACGTGGCTTCCAGCTCCTGGCTCTGGGCTGCTATGGTGCGCTGCAGGGGCTGAGCCGTGGCCTCTTACTGTGGGAGAGAACGGAGACGCCCAGCTCTCGGTGCAGAGGGGAACGCCGACCTCACAGCAGGAGGGGCCTGGCAGGTGCTCACACAGCCGACCACCCCCCATGCCCCCAGGAGGGTCCAAAGAGCCTCTCCTGTCCACTTTGAGCCCCACAGGGCTTCACCTGAACTCCTGCAAAGTTCTGCCCTGCCCTCCCTCCCGCCGGCATCCCTTCGCTCCGCTGGAAAACAGCCAAGAGTGCTCTGTCCAAAGTGCCAACCGGGCCCTGCCCTCCTCGCTGGCCCAAGGGACAGTCACACTGGGAGGTCCAAGAAACCTCCGGGAGCTGCTGAGAATGTGCAGCCTCCATTGAAAATGCAGAATGGGGGGGGGGGTGACAGTGCCACCCTCCTGCATCACACAGACCCTCCCCCGAGGAAGCTCCCCAGGTCCGTCCTCTCCCCAGATCCAGGCCACGCTGGACACCTTGGGGGCATGGCCCTGTTTCTCCTGGGCTTACGACCGTGAGCTAAGACTCTTCTCAGAGCCCTGGAGTGAGCCAGCCATGGTCCCCGTCTGTCCATCTCTCTGTCCATCTGTCTACCCAAGTACGGTCCCTGAAGGGCATCCAGCGAGACCAGACTGCCAGAGAGCATGGGGAGGGGAATGGGCAGCGCGGAGGACCCCAGTCCCTCTCCAAGGACAGGGCAGTTGGGAGGGCTGCCCCCGCCCGCCTCCCCAGGCAGATGTCCCAGCCCTGCGGAAGACACCCTGCTGGGACCCGGCTTCCATTTCCCACCACTCCCAAGTGTTCTCAGAGACTCACTAACACAAGTTCCAGGACCAGGGATCTAGCTCATGCCCAGATCGGGGGCGAGAGGGGAAACGAGGCCAGAGAAGGGGTCAGGTGTAGTGCGTGGCCTCAAAGCCAGACCCCGCTCCCTGCGACCCTGGTGGGCTTACCTGAGGCCCGGTGGCTGCAGGGGGCCCAGGAGGGCCCCTCTCCCTTGGAAGATGACTCTGGGCTGAGGCACCCTCCGGGGAGGAAGAGGCAGGACAGTCACTGGCTGGGAAAGTCCAGCCACAGGACTGGCCCCCCCTTCCCCCCAACACACACTCCGGGGAGTGGCTGGGGGCCAGC